TAATTGCCAATTAAGTCTTTGGCAGCATTTCAAGGGAGATAAAGGTGGGTGCTTATCAGCCTTATCCCAAAAGACTTTGGTAGACTTCTGTCGGACTCTTTACAAACTATGTGTGACTCATTACGGGCTGTGAGTGAACATAATTCAAAGCCGTTGAAATAAAAAGAGGGTTTTGGGAACTAAGCATGTGCTTTTTACTGTCTCAGGAAGCCTAGGTCCAAACAACATGAATGGAAAATGAACATAGTACAAAGAAGCAAAGGGAGGAATTTTTTGATGTGAAGTATATAGATTTAGCTATTGATGATCTATTTATGATTTTTTTAAAAATCTTAAAGTATGCTATAGTTACAGAAGCAAAGACAAATACTATATACAAGTAAGTTTTTAATCCAGGAAACAAGTAGTAAAAATAAATAAAATGGAGTATGTACATTTTAGGATGTTTTGGTTTTTTAATAGCTAGAAATCTGAGAAATGAAAGCACACTTCATATCCATTTGATAACACTTAAATAAAGGAACTAGTTCAAGGTTCTTGATGTAAATTGGAACCTAGTTTATTTGCTGTAATGAGATAGTTGCATATTTCAAATAAGTATAAGACTTCCCACTGTGAATGTATTTCTATGTTTCAATTGCCATGTTATGATAGCAATAGTAATTGCATTAATTATATATAACAGGTATGTTACCAAAACAGGTTGCAGATGATTTAAGGCAGGGGAAACCATCACAGGCCCAAAGTTATGTAAATTCCACTATATTTTTCAGGTAAGTAAGAATTGCTTTTAAATTGCTAGTTAATTGGAGTGTATGCATAATTTCGAAAGAAGGGATTCTGTAAATAATGTGTTAAATAGACATTTACATCTTCTCACAATTAATATTATAGTTACAGCACTGCATACTATGTTGAGCTTTAGAAAAGCTATTATACAAGAACACAATGCCTATTTATCTCTTTTTTTAAAAAAAAAAACCCACAAATTGGAACACAACTATTGTTTGTCCTTATGATGAGTAAAATATTCTTCTACCATCTTGAGTATACTTTATGATCCATATTAAAAGAAACAGTTGTTGTTTTGTGTGTGTTATTTATCTACACTATGATCTGCATATTCATTCCACACTGCACTTTAAAGGAAAAAGTAAGGTAAGATCCTTTGGGGAGGGAATGTAATGAAGTATGTGCATATATAGGATATGTTGGTTTGGATATCCCATTGGCTCCCACAAGGCACTTTCAAACCCTCCAATTCTAGGGGAGAGTTGACTAGCTGGCACCAGTCTCATTACTCCAAATAAATCTTTATGCCTGGCATATGCACTTTTTTTCAGGCCACAAAACGTCTTAGTTTTAAAAAAACAATCCCCAAACCTCTCATCAAGAAGAGCAAAACTCTAGTGAGAAAATGGATCACATTCACATCTCTATCTCTCTCTCCCCTCCCTGTCCTCCACTCCCCTCTCTCATTGAATACTATCAAGTTATCATGGAATCCTACAAACCTTATTGTGGGCTATCCAAAGAGTTAAACCACCCTATTTTTCTTGATTGTGTTTCTTGTGTTTTGAAAAAGAGGAGAAATGCTCATTAGCTGTGTATTAAAAGTAGTTTGATGAGAATGATTAGTAACAGGCTGAATAGAATGAATGAGGGTGGCTATGGGTATTCTCTAGCAACTCTTCTCTTTGCTATTTTAATTGTATGCTCCTAAAGCTATTGATGTTGGAATGAGATAGCGCCATGTTAGCATAAAGAAAGAAGTTATTCTAATTATTATAGAGAAATAATCTGCACTGTATTTTATGTAACAGTTATTTGATCTTCCCTCCTTTTCTTCTCGAGAGAAACCTCTGTTTTTTAAAACTGGCCTGACTTGTACATCTCTGTGTTCAGCAAGCAAGTCCATTAAAATTCTGCAGATTAATGTCTGCTGATTTATGCTTACATCTGCTTGTCTGCAGATGGGCATGATTTATACCTAACTGAGAAAACAACTCTGAGAGATTTATATACCCAACAGATGTAAACCTAATATATAGATAAGAGGTTATCTAATCTTCTTGTAAATTAAATTTAAATGATTCAGCAAAGCCTCCCCTTCACACTCCCTCTTTGGCTTTTTTTGTCCTTAAAAAAAGGAACATTCACAGCATCTTTTGACATTAGGGGACCTGCTGGAATCTTAGTAGCTACATTACAGGATTAGGGCAATATAGTTTAAACCTACTTGTGCTATGCAAAATATGGCGTTAAAATCATATGCCTCTTCATGTTTTAATTTCAATTCTCAACTCCTAATTTAAAAAATGCTTAAATTGATATGGATGGAATTAACTCAAGCAATACATGAGTAACGAAACCAAAACTAAAAACTACTGAGCCTCTCAGTGTAACTGCTTAGAGTAGGCAATACTATACTTGGGAAATCAAAAGTAAAGCCAAAACAAGGTCTGATAGGCTAAGAATGGATTTCAGGAATTAACTTTGCTTATATAACAGAACTCAGTTTAATTAGACTAGCGAGAAATAAAATTAGATAATGATACGGGCTTGGCCCTATGAATTTTAGAATTCTATATATACTCATTAACCGTAGAAGCAGAATTACATGTACGGAGTACAAATGTATATTCATACAGTGCACATAATTGGTGCTGATGAAATCTGAACACATGTGTCTGTGGGTAGCAACAAAGCAGTTGGAATGGCAGAAATGCTAAAAGCCTCTATTGACTAGACTGTTACTTACTGGGAAATAAAATTGTCAACCAATTAAAATTTCATTTAATTTATCTGCCTTTCATCAACTAATTAAAGTCTTTATATTGTATATTAGCATATCACTGGAGAAATGTCATTTTACAGACTAAAAGTCTGTAAGACTAAGTGAATTTATAAAACAACAAAAATGATTGGTTTTTTTTTTCAACAGAAGAGCGGTATTTTATTTTGTTAACTTTACATGCTGCTGCAATCCAGCAGGCTTCTGACTTACATGCCCTTCTTCAAACTACAGTCCAAAGTAATAATGTTAGAAGTTATTAAGAAAGAGATTGAGAACAGAAACACTAAAGCACAAGCCAGAAATAATCTGTTTCTTATTTTCTGCTACAAAAGTGCTTTGAAACAACAACAGCCTCCAAAAGTACACACTGAGTACATACATTGGATATAATATTTCTTAAATTGAATTCCATAATCTATGATACTTTCTCTTCCTGTAGATGCCCTGACATTATTAATACCTACTAAAGGCCTAACAGTTGGTATAAGCGGGTCATGCTTTTCTTTACAATTTAGTTTGAAAAATGGCAAACAATTATTACAGGGTAAAAGCAGTGGCAGTGAGAGGCAGTTTGATGTAGTGGTTGAGGAGGTTAGAAACTGTTGGACTGCGATTTCTAGTCCTAGCTTAGGTGTGAAGCTAGCTGGGTACCTTGTGCCAGCCTCTCAGCCCTGTGAAGCAGGCAATGGCAAACCACTTCTGGAATGTTGCTGAAAGGTCCTTGGTGCTCTCTGAGATTGCTTGTTTTCTTGCAGACACTATCCTAACAAGATAACATCATTAGTGCTGATGTTAGTACCAAGAATACTGCAGGGGCTAATCTAGAAAATCACCAGGAAATCAACAATAGAATAGAATAAATAGAGTAGAATAGAATAGAATCTGGAAGGGAACTTGGCGGTCTCCTAGTCCAGCCCCCTGCTCAAACAGGAAAACCTATACCATTTTAGATAAGTAACTGTCTCTAGACTCTTTTTAAAAACATCCAGTGATGGAATGCCCACAATTTCTGGAGGCAAGCTGTTACAGTGGTTAATTGTCCTTACTGTTAGGAAGTTTCTCCTTAATTCCAGGTTGCTTCTTTGATCAGTTTTCAACCATTATTTCTTGTCCTGTCCTCTGGTGCTTTGGAGAATAAGTTGCCCCCCTCTTCTTTGTGACAGCCCCTCAAATTTTGGAATACTGCTATCATATCATACCTAATTCTTCCTTTCTTTAGACTAGCCAAACCCAAATCCTGCAGCCATTCTTCATATGTTGTAGTCTCCAGGCCTAACTTGAAGGCGCACAGAGAAAAGTGATGATTAATGGTGGTAGAGGAGGAAATCGTGTTCTGCGATCAGAATTTGTGTCATGAAAATCTCATGTCAATTTCAAAAAATTCTGAAATCCTAATGGGACACACCATGACTTACTTGCTTCTTTCTTCTTTCCAGTGACATTGTTGGCTTCACGCAGCTCTCCAGCACCAGTACACCTTACCAGGTTGTGGACTTTTTAAACAAACTCTACACCACTTTTGATGAAATCATAGATAATTATGATGTCTACAAAGTTGAAACTATAGGAGATGCCTGTAAGTTTTAAAAAGTATATAAATAGCCCTGTTTTTCAAACTGTCTTTAGTTCTAAACATTACTATTAGGTAACAGAAGCTGATAACCCAGGCAGTAAAATTAAAGGACAGGAAATTGCAACCTACTGTATTAATATTATTAACATGATACAGTAAAATGCAAACAATGATCCATTTCATTTTTTTAAAAAAGATGATGATTGAAGGAATATGGATTAATAGTTATTTACTATATGTAAGGTGAATGAATTGTGGTTTTCAGTTGTTCTCGCAGCCATGTGGAGGTTACATTTTCCAATAGAGTATTCTCAGGATGGGTTGTTCCTGAGGAGAATTCAGGGATTTCTTCAGATTAGTTTGCATCTAAGCTTAACTAAAAGCCAGAGGATTTTGGGATTAAGACAGCTGTCATAGGGATGGTTTACAGCCATTAAAATGAATGGGTCAATCAATGCTAGGCATGGGAGAATAGATTAAGAATGACGTGCAGAATAACACAAGTCACTAGGGGCAGGACATTGGTGTATGTCATAAAGCTGATGTCTTTCTGTTATGATGAACTGCAATACTCATTTATGTTATGAATTAACATAAATCCCAGCAATTTAACGGAATCAACTTGAAGCATCACTATGGAATTAGGCATAGTTATTTCAAATAGACAGTGAAATTGCTGGGATTATGCTAATAAAGACTAACTTAATTACCATAAACTAGATCCAACTAATGAATGCAAAGAAAGTACTTTGAATGTTTACAATGCATTTCACAAATGGTGCCATCATTCAGGTTCGGATAATGAAAATACACATCAAAACTGGCTTTGACTTTTACACAGTTTAAGAAGCTCTTTTGGTTTTTTTTAGATATTTTAGAATTATTTGGGTCATAAAACAGCTTGATATCTGTATTTTAATAAATCATTTTAATGTAATGAGAGATTGGCAGATTTGAGATGTAACTATTTAAAATATTAATACAACGCAAGATGAGATAGATACATCTAGCCTTGCTAGTGTTTGGTTAAAGAACCTTTGTGTTTGGCTAACTCTATAGGAGGTGAAAACCTCTTAAAAATGGCTGCTCTAATTCAGTAATCTGAAGATTTTGCTTTCCTGGAGGTGTTTTGTGTATAAGCATGCACAAATCTGGTATGTTTTTCTGAAGGTTTATAGGGCAGTATTTTAGGATTATTTTTCAAACTTTAAATACTTAAAAATCTGTCCATTTCCATTCATGATTTCCCTACCATAATGAGTGTTTAATCATGCCAAAAATTGTTATATTTTAGCGCATGTGCTAAAATAAGCCCTTTCCCAAAAATAAGCCCTCTCCCAAAATATTTAAATGCATGCGCAGCCGGTTTTCCTGGGGGGGGGGGACATGCCCCATGTGCCCTGCATGCACCTACCATCTACATGGAACAGCCTCGCGGAAGCTGCTCCTGTAAATCCTAGCTATCTTCTCTTAGTGGCGGTTGCAAAAAGAGTGGCAGTCCCAGCGATGCTAGGGCTGGCAAGAGTGTGCCAGAAACAGAGACAGAACTTACGGCCATCTCTGGATCTGCTGAACCAGCCAAGGTTAAGGGGCCTCCTGCACCTCAAAAATAATAAAACCTCCCCCAAAATAAGGCCAAGTGCTTATTTCAGGGGTCAAAAGAAAATGAGACCCTGTTTTAGTTTCCGAAAAACATGGTAGTTTTTATAAATAAATAAAGTAAATTAGTTTTACTATTGATTTTTGATAGAGACTATGAGAATGCCGTTTAATGCTGCCTGATGCTAAGGACTGTTGTACACATTGGGTTCCATTTATATGTATGTGTGAAATTGCAACTGTGATATGAAAGTTAATTATAATTTACCCCTTTTATGTACTTATTCTCATTTTCAGACATGGTAGTATCAGGAGTGCCAAGAGAGAATGGCATTCATCATGCAAGTGAAATTGCAAGCATGGCTCTGGAGCTTGTTTTGGTGTGCAAAACGTTTAAGATTCCACATAAGCCTGAGACCCAGCTTAAAATTCGAGCAGGAATCCACTCAGGTATCACTGGTCTAGAAGGAGAAAGCCTCAGAAATGAAAGTAGCTTATTTTTTTTACCAGAATTGGGTCACCAATAAAGGAAAATTAAGTCCTGAGTATTAATTGGCTTCAGTTTCCAAGATGCAGCTTCAGGTTAAAATTCCATCAAAATAATTCAAAAATTACAAGGGGGATGTGCGATGATGCTTCATACCTTTTCTGCAAAATGTGATGTAACCATGAGAATGGTGTCACACCAACCATCACAAATCTATGTTTTTTATTGATACCAATAACCTAACTTTTCAGTCATTTATTGGTTTTTCATGTAACAGTTTCATGCTTTTTGCACGAAAAACTGACAAACACTAACATCAGATTAAACAACAAGGTTCCGTATTTATTTAGTATCTAAACAGCACTTTTTGGCTTTTGTCTTGTAAACTGCAGTAAAATCATCCCTGGGGAGAGTCCAGCAGTAATCGGCAAGCATCGACGGACTCCATTTCCCTTGGTATCTTTTCTCTATGCTGCGATATTCTGGTGGAATCTCTCCCCATCCTATTCACTCACTGCCTCACAGTTCAAAGGGAAATAGTCCAAATGTGAGTGTAAGAAGTGAATTTTCAGTGGCATGTTTGAACCAATGTTTGACCAAAGCAAAATTTCCAGGAGTTTTTCATAGTTATCTGCCTTGCTGTTCTCAAAGTGAAGATAAATTTATACACTTCCATGTGGTACCATTTTTAGTTTTTTTAGTTTTGTTTTTTTT